CAATACCCCAGACCTTTAAAAAAGTGGACATGAATCTGAGAGTTCCCAGAGTTCCCCAGTAGCACACACCCATTTAAAGAGGTGAAAGAATCCCCAATTCTAGCTCAATGCCAGTTTAAAGACGCACCTGTGCAAGCAGTGGGAGATGGGAGAACTTCCCCCATCCACAGCTGAATATGCCTATTTAAAGCAGGCTTCCAGCTCTCTTTAAACATGGATACATTGGATTTGAGGACAGGCAAGGAGCAGCAAACAACTGCTCATCCCTGCCTTCCCCATCTCTGGGAGGGGAGGGAGCTGTGGAAGAGCTCCCTGTGCATTCCCCAGAACCAGTGTGCCCAGGCTGGAGGACACACAATAGAGAATTCCCAGCCCCTTGACTCCTGAGTGTCAGGAGGAGTTGAGCTGCTGGTGCTCCCCATGTCTTCTCCAGATCTGTTATCCCAGTCTTGGGAAAGCTCAGGAAGCATTTCCCCACCGCTGAACACCTCCTGGTTTAGAAGTCGAGCAGCATGAAAGTGTACAGGCATTTGTAGGGATCTTCCTTGGTGATCCCAAAGTTGGCATGTTTCCTGTGTGAGAGAGTTAATGAAATGCTTGTGCTCTCTTGCTTTCTACAGGGAGAGCAGCAATTGTAGTAGTAATCAAATACCTGTACAAGGCCTTAAACAGGATAAGAAACAATTTCACCTTGAAATGGAAGCGATTTGCTGTCTGATACTCTCCAGTGAGGAGGACTTTATTGATATCATTTCCAAACAGGGAAGGTGAAGATAGCCTTGTTAAAGTAGCTTCAAAACCTTAAAAAGAAAAACAAAATGTTACACCAGTGTTTTACTGATCTGTGCTACTGGGATGGACACTGCTCTTTGAACATACCCTGCATCTTACCTGTATTTATAGGTTTTTGACCTCCCACAACTTGGTATCCATGATTTCTGGAGAAGAAACACCAGGGTATGTTTGAGTCATTCTCTGGACTCCAGCAACAGCCACGCAGCACACATAGGTTCTGATTAAAGGAAAAAAAGAACTTGATTACACTAACCAGGACTGATTAGCACTAAATAATATTCTAGATTTAAAAAAGGTGCTTCACATGCATTTTAAATATCAGCGACCATTGTTGTAACATTCATAATTGCTCTATCATGATTTCTGTGCCTCACAAATTAATATAAACATAAAATCCCTTTTCTAGATTCAAGTTAGAAATTAAAATTGCTCACTGCAAGGGAGGAAAAGGGCTTCTATTTTTTTTCCCCATTCTTAGCATGATTCTGACATTTTTTCCTTGTCTGTGCCTTTTGCCATTATTTCACTGGGATGGAAAGTGGACTTAATACTTCAAGAAATTTTCTTCTTATTCAATTTCTAGATCATTTAGGAATATTCAGTAGTCTCATACATGGTTAAGAATGGAAACATCTGGATGCACAACTGAATCAAACCTAAGCTCCAAAAGTTTTGAGCTTCCTCCAAGACTAGTATAACATGGAAGATTTCTGTGTAAAAAATGGTACCCCCCTGTTGTTCAATTTGTGCAAAATAATTGATATATTAGTTCAAAAGAGATAATATTAAGCCATGTGCATATTGCAAAATGCATCTGGAAACATGTTTCTCATTCATTTAGTATTTTTTTCCAATGCATTTAAAAATATTCTATAGATAATTTAAGCAAACGGCAATTTTGTTCAATTATTCATAGACCAACCACAAGCAAAATCACAGCTGTCAGCCCACCTCTATAGAATTTAGCTTATACTAAATTGTGAACTAATAAACCTGTGCCTTTGGTATGAAACACAAATGCTGATGGTATAATAAAAATGTCTTAACACTTCAAATATTTCTTTTAACAAAAGATGTAGTTTACAGTCCATAGGTATTAATAACACGTAGCAGAACCTAGCATGACCCATCTTTCAACAATTTAACCCTCGTTATGGTCTCTTGTCCAGTGTTTGACATTCCTTTTACAGAGCAACTTTATGGCTAGGCTCACACCCAAAGTTGTATTCTCTTTTTAAGGTATATAGACAATTTATAATCAGATGTAGCTCCTTTTGAAAATTCCTGGGAGCACAAATTCTGTGTAGTGGCTGAATTAACTACTTAGTTAGAGGGGTTTAGGTTGTAGCTGTGTTGGTCTAAGGACATAGGCAGACAAGGTTCCTTGGGTGAATTTGATATCTTTTATTAGACCAACCCAAATAGTTGGAGAAAAGTTATTAAGCAAGCTTTCGGGTTCAAAAACCCTTTGTCAGGCTAAGGAAGTTTCAGCAGTTGGTGTGTGCTGTTCCTGGATGGAATGAAAAGTAAAGAAGCCAGGGGCTGGGCTGGGGAGTCAGTTGCCAGGCAGATTATAATGTATCAAAAATCCAATGTTACTGACCTTATACACTTCATCCTCACACACAACAATTTCACTTTTAATAATCAACACTTCCTCCAGATGATGGGAACAGCTATGGGCACTAAAATGGCCCCACAGTATGCCAACCTTTTTATGAGTCACCTGGAAGAAGACTTCCTCAAGAACTGTACCATCAAACCCTTACTATACCTAAGATACATCAATGACATCTTCATCATTTGGACTGAGAACCTGCAATCTTTGATTGAGTTCCATCAGAAATTCAACACTCACCATCTCTCCATCCGACTTTCTTTAGAATACTCCAGCAGCAACATCTCCTTTTTAGACACAATGATCAGTATCCAGAAGGGTAAAATACAGACCACAGTATACAAGAAACCCACAGACCAACATACATATCTGCACAGAAACAGCAATCACCCGAAACATACCAAAAAAGCTGTGATATACAGCCAAGCGCTCAGATACAACCACATTTGTACTAAAGAGAACACCCGGGATTGCCACCTCAACAGTCTTCAAAAGGCTTTCACCCAACAAGGACACTCCTCCAGAGAGGTAGAGAGCACGTTTGAAAGAGCCACCCGGATACCATGTGAAGAACTGCTACAGTACAGAAGAAAACCCCCCACAATTCGCACACCGCTGGTTATGACGTATCACTCCTCCCTTGAACCTGTATTGAAAATCCTCAAACAATTGCAACCCATACTAGAAAGAGACCCTATTCTTAAAAAGATCTTCCCAGAGCCACCCATCCTAGCCTTCAAACAAGCACCGGACCTTGCCAACCTCATCACCAGAAGCAAACTTCCTCAAGCCCAGAACACACCAAAAGGATCCAGACCGGGCCATGACAAGAAATGCAAAACCTGCCCCCACATCTCCACCACCCCCACTATTACTACACCCCACAACAGAACCATCAGCATCCCAGGATCTTACAGCTGCACCTCCAGGAATGTAGTATACCTCATCCAATGCACCAAATGCCCTGATGGAAAATATGTAGGAGAGACCAGACAACAACTGCGCACCAGAATGAATGCACACCGGAAATCCATCAAAGACAGAAACACCCAATTACCGGTGGGGGCACATTTCTCACAGGAGGGCCACTCTCTCTCCAATCTCTCAGTCCTGACCCTAAAGGGAAATTTATAAAACACATCCCAGAGACGAGCCTATGAGCTCCATTTCATCAACCTGCTGGATACTAGAGATCAGGGACTAAACATAGACATTGGATTTTTGATACATTATAATCTGCCTGGCAACTGACTCCCCAGCCCAGCCCAGCCCCTGGCTTCTTTACTTTTCATTCCATCCAGGAACAGCACACACCAACTGCTGAAACTTCCTTAGCCTGACAAAGGGTTTTTGAACCCGAAAGCTTGCTTAATAACTTTTCTCCAACTATTTGGGTTGGTCTAATAAAAGATATCAAATTCACCCAAGGAACCTTGTCTGCCTATGTCCTTAGACCAACATGGCTACAACCTAAACCCCTCTAACTAAGTAGCTAATTCAGCCACTACACAGAATTTGTGCTCCCAGGAATTTTCAAAAGGAGCTACATCTGATTATAAATTGTCTGTATACCTTAAAAAGAGAATACAACTTTGGGTGTGAGCCTAGCCATAAAGTTGCTCTGTAAAAGGAATATCAAACACTGGACAAGAGACCATAACAAGGGTTAAATTGTTGAAAGATGGGTCATGCCAGGTTCTGCTACGTGTTATTAATACCTATGGACTGTAAACTACATCTTTTGTTAAAAGAAATATTTGAAGTGTTAAGACATTTTTATTATACCATCAGCATTTGTGTTTCATACCAAAGGCACAGGTTTTATTTAGCCTGATAAAGGGTTTTTGAACCCGAAAGCTTGCTTAATAACTTTTCTCCAATTATTTGGGTTGGTCTAATAAAAGATATCAAATTCACCCAAGGAACCTTGTCTGCCTACTCAGTTAGATACATTTTACTGACCTGTGTGTTACATTTTACAAAGAGGAATCATGACCTACGTGATACAAAGCAAATACATATACATATATATGAAAATAAATAATTAAAATCATGGTTGATAAATTATCTTAAATGTTGCCTGCACAAAGTTGATGATATGTACTAACTTTCTTAATTTCCTGTTAATTTTCTGACTTTATTGAAATGTTCTTTGTCTTCTAAGTTTCATATTTAAACTTTCTGTGCTAAAACATGCAAGACCAGAGCTTACTAACATTCTTACTGAGAGAGCAACAAGAAATCAAACCCAAAACTGATACTATTTCACAACCAAATGCTTCGACCAGGTTATATTCCTCTACAATGACAGGTAGTCACTGAAGTTGTATTCCCCTGTCATTCAGGGTATGTCTACATTTGTAGTTAAGGCTTCAGCTGATTCTATACTTGATGACCATCTACACTTGACCTCCAGTGAAGTCCAGCTCTGCTGAACTCCAGGTTCTGAGATTTAGCCTCTCTCCTAGCCAACCAGACTGCTTGGATTTCACTCAGTCTGGCTATTTGGAAGCACCAGAAATCCACCAGCAGCAATCACACACCAACATGTTCTTGACTTCTGGTCCCTCTACAGTGGCCATCTAGTTGCAACACTCCACAACTAAAGCTTAGCACAGAAGGAGAGGCAAGTAATTTACAGTTTGATTTCTAAAAGGTATCCAAATGAGGAACAGGAAGCATCATATACACAGCTTTGATTCAAGGTGCTATATAATGTATAGACTGGGGAAAACAATTCAGATATCTTAGAGATATCTTAGGCAAGTTGAGGGAAACATATCTTCATATAAAAAAAAAACTCTTTCATGCTTTTGCAAAAAAATGATTAGTAGGCGCTTATGTTTAAGCCAGGAGGTAAAATTTAAGATTTTTTTTTTAAGAAAAGTATCGGCTTGTGTATACAAAATGTTTTCAATAATGTTATGAATGTACTAAAAGTCTAAATAAGCTGGTGTGAGTCAAAATCACTCTGAAGAAGACAAATGAGAAAATGTTTAGAGTCCATAGACTCTCATTGCAGACCACCAAAATAAGATTTAGATGAGGGTAGAAATTCTTGTAACGTAGTAAGAGAAGGAACAACTATATGGGCCTGTGTCATTATGGGACATTTTAACGTCCCTGATACAGAATGAACAAAAAGTGCTTCGAATAACAGAGGGGGAGTGAGACACATAATCCTGGATGAGGCAACTGGTAGATTTCTGAACTAAATACTCATGAAACCAACAAGATATGATGCTATTTTTGCCTTTTTTGGTAAGTACTTAGGATGATACAGAACAGCTGGTAATGGAAAATAACCATTGATCAAGTGATCATGAATTTATTCAGTTTAAATTAAATGGAAGCATAAAAAGGGCAGGGTTTGAGGTTTTTGGGAAATTCAAGTGGATTCAATAGTTCAGGGACTTCAACATAAAAAGACTTGGGATTTATTTATTTTTTTGAGTCAAAAGAGAAAATGGTACTTAGAATTTGCAACCCAAGCAAGGGGGGATATTTTTTCCCTCAAAAAGGATCCCAATTCTAAACTGATAAATAACCATCACACAAAGGAAATCAGAACTAAACACAGGTAGTATAAAGAATGGGAA